AAGAAATAATTGAATGATCACCATGGATTTATTTTCACAATCCAAAGATCGTAGACCGTAATAAGAACTTTTGTTCATCGTGTCGTTGTGATTGAAAATAGTTTTCGCAAAAAAAAAAAAAAAAAAACCCTAAGAAATCACAGTTTTAAGCTGGCTTGTCTAGTTTTAGATTTTAATTTTCAAGTATTTAATTTATGAACATTTTTACGCTTTATTTCCATTCGCAGATTTCTTAAAATTCTTGACCTCTTGAAATTATTCATGACATGCTCTTCCTCGATGCTTATCATTAGATAGCGTGTGGGCTCTTTTATCTTTTTTTTTTCTTCTCAGTATTCATCACAGATTGCCTTTCCCAGCTATCCCCTGAGCATTTAAGTATGGAAATGTTGGAGCTCATTTCAATTTAAAATTACCTCGGGCCTTTGTGTTCGGCATTTTTTTGTTCTTTACTAGTTTAGCACGGAATCTCCTCCTGGGAAATCAAGTTTACGAACATGACAGCAACCAGAAAAGAGGCGATGGTCAAAGTAGAATTTTTCATTTGTCGTCAACTTTTGGGATTTTGAAGTCTTTTCAAAGAATGTCAACCACTTTGCCTCTGTCTTCAGATAATTTCACCACATCTTTTCCGTAAATCACTTGTCTGTGTGTCTGTATGCCTACGCTCGACAACACAGTAAGCAGACACCGATGGCAGGGCATCAACCCCTGGTCTTGACAGCCTTTCTCATGCAAATCAGCTTTGGCAGATGACCCTTACTGTTACTGGGTGGTTGATACCAGATGAGAATTTTATGTAAATTACACTGACACAGCTCTAGGTCCATTTTGCCTTCACTTCTTTCCACGCTGGAACCTAAATCTGATTTAAACCAATGAGAGAGAGAGAGAAAGACTTGACGAAACGCGGCTGTAAGTGAGAATGTGTGACCGTCATTAATTAATGGAGCGGAAATGTCTTGGATCTTAGAAATAATGCCCGTTTGAGCATGGAATTGATGTTTTAAAATTTTGCTTTGTGATTCATGCTACAGACAAATTTAAAATTGATCATAAGGAGAATGAATCGTATTTTTTTTAATTTACCGAACTTCAATTATGTTCAGATTTGACATTTAAATTCAGTATATAAAAAGTTAGAAGACAACATGGCCAAACTAAAAAAAAAATTTTTAGTCTAAATTGTATTAAATATCCAACACAGACTTTTTGAAATTTTGTAATTGTTACAGTCAAACGGAACAGAAAATGTAAACGGATTTTTAAACATGTATAACGCACTATTTCGTGTTAGTTCTAAATAAGAACTGTGCAATGTGGGTCAATATTATAAATCCAACGTGTTGAAAAAAAACAAAAAACATCATTGACATGACTGTCACTCTTGTAACATATTCTCGATCGAAAAGTGTGAAGCGCGATTTATTTACTTATTTATGTTAATTATTATTTTTTGTTTGATAACAGGATGCGAATAACGGACCCTCTGATCCATAGTTTGTCACACTAACCGCTGAGTCATGATCAGCCCTGATTTGGAGTTAAGCGCAAAGGTACACAGAGGCTATCTATGAATATTAATTTTACCTTATTTTGAACAGACTAGAAGAAAGACACATCCGCGCTTCCAAAATGTGGAGCGCGTTCTTTTGCCTTAATGGCACTCGAACCACGAATCATAGGGTTCACAATCTGAATACGTTATCACTAGGCCACAGCAGTGAGTATTGGCAGTATTTTAACAAGTACTT